CCCATGCTTGCCGTAAGGGGCGACTATGCTTGTCGTAAGAGGCGACTAATGGGATCGGGTGGTCAGACTCGCTGACTTGTTTGATGCATGTCATCGTATCCCAATTGCGTGAATCGATGCTCAGGATATGGATCACTGGATTATCTTGTCCAGGCTTGATTATATACAGACTGCCGTCATATAGCTGGAATAATGCTGCGTGCGTCGTTAAACAACAAACAAACAATCAAAATCGAATTATACAATTAATACAAACCCGACTAATCATCCCACCAGTGTTAAAATGTCGTGATAAACCAGGTCAAATAGTAGCTTTTAGTAGTATAGCGACAATAGAATTCACTGAGCTAGGTAAGATTATATAAGTCCATCTCTGAATACGTTTTACATTCTGTGGAGACTGTTTTTAAAACTGACCACTTTTTTATATGAAGCTTGAATGACCGGGGTGTTTCTTTCCCTTACTCGTCACTGTTCTAAATATGTTTTACGTTTGAACTTTGTCCTTTCTAGGTGGAATACCACTTTTTTTTATTGGAGACAGAGATGCCTATCCTATCATCTCTTCCACTTAAAGCCCTACAAAGTTGTGGAGAATGTCAAGGAAATGATTTAGGAATCCACAGTTTTGGCTCTAGGAAACATTGTCAGGCTAGAATTGGGGAAAAGGCTTTTGACTTCTGATCATAAAAGACGTCAGCACACACTCTATCCTGGCAGTAAAACCCGGGGTCCTATACTAAGATCGCTGAAATTACAGACGGCATTGCTTTCGCGTGTACCAAACAGCCGAATTGAAACACATTACAGGCGAGTTACTGCTTGAAGGCATCGGAAACAGGCCACTTCACCACGCGTCGACTCTCCTCCACGTGTTGTGCTTTCTCCAAGCCACGTGCACTGTGTGGTACCCATGGCAACGTCGTACTTACATCATATTGTATTTAAGTTAATTCAAAACGTGATATTTTTATCGCTGTGTTTGTCACTCCATTGTGCAGATGGTATCAATTATAAAATGTGACTAAAATAGGTCAAAGGCAGATGTGATTCGGAACGTCTCAATTCTTTCTATAATATAATCATAGAATATGATATTAACTTCCTACATATAGTAGTATAGTTGTTTATATTGAGTTTCCTTTTTATCAATTAATACCGTGAATGGGTCTTCTGCAATCCATGCTTGTCGTAAGAGGCGACTAATGGGATCGGGTGGTCAGACTCGCTGACTTGTTTGATGCATGTCATCGTATCCCAATTGCGTGGATCGATGCTCAGGATATTGATCACTGGATTATCTTGTCCAGGCTTGATTATATACAGACTGCCGTCATATAGCTGGAATAATGCTGCGTGCGTCGTTAAACAACAAACAAACAGTCAAAAGCGAATTATATAATTAAAACAAACTCCGACTAATCATCCCACCAGTGTTAAAATGTCGTGATCAATCAGGTCGAATAGTAGCGTATAGTAGCACAGCGATCATAGAATGCACTGTGCTAGGTAAGATTATATAAGGTCCATCTCTGAATACGTTTTACATTCTGTGGAGACTGTTTTTAAAACTGACCACTTTTTTATATGAAGCTTGAATGACCGGGGTGTTTCTTTCCCTTACTCGTCACTGTTCTAAATATGTTTTACGTTTGAACTTTGTCCTTTCTAGGTGGAATACCACTTTTTTTTATTGGAGACAGAGCTGCCTATCCTATCATCTCTTCCACTTAAAGCCCTACAAAGCTGTGGGGAATTTCAAGGAAATGATTTAGGAATCCACAGTTTTGGCTCTAGGAAACATTGTCAGGCTAGAATTGGGGAAAAGGCTTTTGACTTCTGATCATAAAAGACGTCAGCACACACTCTATCCTGGCAGTAAAACCCGGGGTCTTATACTAAGATCGCTGAAATTACAGACGGCATTGCTTTCGCGTGTACCAAACAGCCGAATTGAAACACATTACAGGCGAGTTACTGCTTGAAGGCATCGGAAACAGGCCACTTCACCACGCGTCGACTCTCCTCCACGTGTTGTGCTTTCTCCAAGCCACGTGCACTGTGTGGTACCCATGGCAACGTCGTACATACATCATATTGTATTTTAGTTAATTCAAAACGTGATCTTTTAATCGTTGTGTTTGTCACTCCATTATGAGGATGGTATCAATTATAAAATGTGACTAAAATAGGTAAAAGGCAGATGTGATTCGGAACGTCTCAATTCTTTCTATAATATAATCATAGAATATGATATTAACTTCATACATATTGTAGTATAGTTGTTTATATTGAATTTCCTTTTTATCAATTAATACCGTGAATGGGTCTTCTGCAACCCATGCTTGCCGTAAGGGGCGACTATGCTTGCCGTAAGAGGCGACTATGCTTGTCGTAAGAGGCGACTAATGGGATCGGCCGGTCAGGCTCGCTGACTTGTTTGATGCATGTCATTGTATCCCAATTGCGTGGATCGATGCTCATGATATTGATCACTGGATTGTCTTGTCCAGACTCGATTATTTACAGACCGCCGTCATATAGCTGGAATAATGCTGCGTGCGTCGTTAAACATCAAACAAACAATCAAAATCGTATTATGTAATTAAAACAAAGTCTGACTAATCACCACACCAGTGTTAAAATATCTTGATGAATCAAGTCGAACAACACTGGCTTCTTACATCAAGCATATTCTCTTTGAATTTGGTTTTGATTATGTGTGGCTTTCTCAAAATGTTTAGGATTGTATGTTATTTATGCAACAGTTTAAGCTTCACCTGGCAGAGAATCTCACAGTAAGTATCATTTGGCATGTCACTTCAACATGTTATCAGGGGCGATCGGGCAGCCTAGTGGTTGAAGCGTAAGCTCGTCATGCCGAGGACCCGGGTTCGATTCCCGACATGGGTACAATGTGTCAAGCCCATTTCTGGTGTCCCCCGCCGTGATATTGCTGGAATATTGCTAAAAGCGGCGTAAAACCAAACTCACTCACTCACTCCACATGTTATCGCTCTTTACCTATACATTTTTCTTTCAAATCTATATCAGCCCAATTTCGATGTAGCAACTTTGGTTTACATATACAGACTGGGAGATATTCTTATACCCCTCTTCAGGAACGGATATGTATTTATTGTCAATTTTATGGATAATTATTATGTTGAGGATGAAATGAAATACATGTTTTGTTTAAAATACTTTTATTACGCCTTATGTGTAAATTTTAAAAAATCAACACGACATAATACTCATCACTAGTGCCAAACATGAAAATAATCAATCAAATCTACGGTATGTTTTAAAATAGTTAAATAAACTTAGAAACACTGTATTGACACTGGGGCAATAATGTAAGCGCCATGAGCACACGAGCTGGTATGGAGCTTGGCGCCAAACAAATATCATATATACCATACATATTATTATTATTATTATTATTATTATTAATATTGAAAAGTGTAAATACTTGTATTTGCGCTTCAGCCTTTTTTTTGGTAAGACGACATCTTCTATGGGCCGATGGTTTTAATACCGAAATAAAACTGTCTGTCTCTAACAAACTCAGTTTAACGGGATATTCGTTTCATGTCATGTTGATATTTTATTAAATAAAAACTCATTTCTATATCCTGCCCCATGTATGCCAGTTTGGTGGCATTTTATTTGTGGTTTTCAAACAGTACATCAGAGTGTCATCATAGTTTCGGCAGGGGGGATCTACAGTTGTGTGACATACTGGTTTCCACTGTCAGGAAACCCGTCGAACACTGGTGTTCGGAAGACATCATTCGTGCGGACTCCGATTATAAAGGACCGAATTTTGATATTCTCGTTGGGCCCTGGGAACATGTTTAAGGAAAAGAATAAATTTTCCTAAAATAATGGAAAAGATAATTTTGCCTACAATAATACAATAATAAATGTCAGGTAAAGGTGCTTGGTGTTCTGACAAATAGTTGGCTGTGCAATAAAAGTGTAAGGCGATTTGCAGTGAAAAACACTGATAACGCTTTGATATTTCTGACTGCGGCATATCACAATAAAATATTCCATATATGTTGCCCGCATATCATAGAACCGATAACGCCTTTAATCCAAGACACAATCGTCTAAGGCGCCACGATTCGCAGTGTAGAGTTGCGTCCCTTAGGGGCGACAGAAACCTATGATCTTAGGTTTGAAATCTGGATAATATTTATCAACATAAAATCCATGCTCGTAGGTTTCACCAGTGTTTCACGTATAAGAGTGTCTTGCTTTCCTCCGTCATTAAGCCGACATGTCATAATATAACAGAAATTTTGTTCAAGGCGGCGTTAATTCACTCACTCACTCAATCGTTCACTCACTCGTTCACGCACTAATTTAATCGTTCACTCGGCCACATGCCCACACATTCACTCACTCACTCATTGAAATATTCCCGCTATGAAAAAATAATTTAAAAAAAGAGTGGTAATCCTTGAAAATCCTGCCTCAAGGTCTGGATACTGCCGGCGACTTATACATACTGTATTTATATAGTAACTTTAAGTGGTCGATAACTGCGCCAACTAAAACAGAGATGATGTCTTTGAAGGCGATGGAATTGACAGGAAATTAATCTACGTGGACTTTGTTGACGCTCTGCACGAGATCTGAATGGGGGGCACACAGCATCCTGGTGACGACAACCCCCCGGGCGTACAGGTCAGGGCACTTATTATTCCCAGGGAGGGAGGTGTCAGAATGACAAACCACTGTCACTCTTAAATCGCATTTTTCTGAACGAAGAATTCAATCACTTCAGAGCCTATTACTTCAAAGATTTGTTTTCTTCCAGCAGCATAAAATCTTCAAGATGTTTTTGTTAAAACTACAAACGTCGATGAAAGAAATCAGTTTGTTTGATGAATAACTGTTGTGATTCGGGAGCAACGTTTGTCTCAGTTACGTTCATCCTAAATACGCTTGTCAAAGTTACGCTTGTCATAGTCACGCTTGTCATAGTTACGCTAATCATAGTCACGCTTGTCATAGTTACGCTTGTCACAGTTACGCTTTTCACAGTTACGCTTTTCACAGTTACGCTTTTCATAGTTACGCTTGTCATAGTTACGCTTGTCATAGTTACGCTTGTCATAGTTACGCTTGTCATAGTTACGCTTGTCATAGTCACGCTTGTCATAGTCACGCTTGCCATAGTTACGCATGTCACAGTTACGCTTGCCATAGTTACGCTTGTCATAGTTACGCTTGTCACAGTTACGCTTTTCACAGTTACGCTTTTCACAGTTACGCTTTTCATAGTTACGCTTGTCATAGTTACGCTTGTCATAGTTACGCTTGTCATAGTCACGCTTGTCATAGTTACGCTTGTCATAGTTACGCTTGTCATAGTCACGCTTGTCATAGTTACGCTTGTCACAGTTACGCTTTTCACAGTTACGCTTTTCACAGTTACGCTTTTCATAGTTACGCTTGTCATAGTTACGCTTATCACAGTTACGCTTGTCATAGTTACGCTTGTCATAGTCACGCTTGTCATAGTCACGCTTGCCATAGTTACGCATGTCACAGTTACGCTTGCCATAGTTACGCTTGTCATAGTTACGCTTGTCATAGTTACGCTTTTCATAGTTACGCTTGTCATAGTTACGCTTGTCACAGTTACGCTTTTCACAGTTACGCTTGTCATAGTTACGCTTGTCACAGTTACGCTTGTCATAGTTACGCTTGTCATAGTTACGCATGTCATAGTTACGCTTGTCACAGTTACGCTTTTCACAGTTACGCTTGTCACAGTTACGCTTGTCACAGTTACGCTTTTCACAGTTACGCTTTTCACAGTTACGCTTGTCACAGTTACGCTTGTCACAGTTACGCTTGTCATAGTTACGCATGTCACAGTTACGCATGTCATAGTTACGCTTGCCATAGTTACGCTTTTCACAGTTACGCTTTTCACAGTTACGCTTTTCATAGTTACGCTTGTCATAGTTACGCTTTTCATAGTTACGCTTGTCATAATTACGCTTGTCATAGTTACGCTTGTCATAGTTACGCTTGTCATAGTCACGCTTGTCATAGTTACGCTTGTCATAGTTACGCTTGTCATAGTTACGCTTGTCATAGTTACGCTTGTCATAGTCACGCTTGTCATAGTTACGCATGTCACAGTTACGCTTGTCATAGTTACGCTTGTCATAGTTACGCTTTTCATAGTTACGCTTGTCACAGTTACGCTTGTCACAGTTACGCTTGTCAAAGTAACGCTTGTCATAGTCACGCTTGCCATAGTTACGCATGTCACAGTTACGCTTGCCATAGTTACGCTTGTCATAGTTATGCTTGTTACAGTTACGCTTGTCACAGTTACGCTTTTCACAGTTATGCTTTTCATAGTTACGCTTTTCATAGTTACGCTTGTCACAGTTACGCTTGTCATAGTAACGCTTGTCATAGTTACGCTTGTCATAGTCAAGCTTTTCATAGTTACGCTTGTCACAGTTAGGCTTGCCATATTTACGCTTGTCATAGTTACGCTTGTCACAGTTACGCGTTTCACAGTTACGCTTTTCATAGTTACGCTGGTCATAGTTACGCTTTTCATAGTTACGCTCGGCACAGTTACGCTTTTCACAGTTACGCTTTTCATAGATACGCTTGTCACAGTTACGCTTGTCATAGTTACGCTTGTCACAGTTACACTTGTAGTTACGCTTGTCACAGTTACGCTTGCCATAGTTACGCTTGCCATAGTTACGCTTGTCACAGTTACGCTTGCCATAGTTACGCTTGTGACAGTTACGCTTGCCATAGTTACGCTTGTCACAGTTACGCTTCTCACAGTTACGCTTTTCATAGTTACGCTTGTCACAGTTACGCTTGCCATAGTTACGCTTGTCATAGTTGATAGGTTTGTCGTAGTTATGTTACGTCAGTTATTGAGTACTATCAGTAATATCAGTACTACAAACTGCAGTATTACTATCAATTAGAGCAGTGCTATTAGTTATGTCAGTGTCAGCAGTTATATCAGGTAAATGAAACATTTATTATATTTGGTATTGCACGAACAAATTCTAGTATGTTTTGGTGAAATCCGATCCGGGATTCGAACCCACACTATTCGCCAGCACTCAAAGTGCGACCTAAATAACACCGAGCGCAGAGTTTTGCAGAGTTGCATCCCTTGCGTACGCCCGAAACATATGATCTTGTGTTCGAATCCCGGTTCGCCCCGATTATGTTTCCAGGTTTGTCAGCACCATACCCGTTCTCGTGGGTTCACCGAAGCGATAAACGTTTGATGCCAGCATCATTTTGGACTTTCTTCCCATACTAATCTGACACGACCTGATATAACTGGAATACTGTTCAAACAGGATTCAACCTATCTCCCTCACTCATTCTAATCCTACTCTTACTACAGTTTAGTTGTTAAAATCTTGGATCAGGCAAGAATCGACCAAAGTCATAGTGACGGTTTCCCTAGCGGTCCGCATTGAAACATAACCCAATTATCTCCCTTGGTACTCACACCCACCCAAACTAAGCCAACATTGACATTTCAAAAATCAAGTCTCCTTATATGCAAGAAAAAGACGTTCACAAAATAATAACACAGATGCATAATACATTGACATTAACGCAACAATCGCCCCCGTGGGCTGCAGACATAGTGAAGGGGTTTAACTGATTCCGCCATGTATTAGGCTGACGTCCTCAGGATAGAAGTTCGGACATTTCCCTGAATCTCGATTTAGTTTCGTATAAATTGATTTACCAAGGTCATGACCTTGAACTAAACATGGCGATTTTTTACTTTGAGGTCAGGTTGCAATTTAGTTCACCAGTATGTGTATTTGGTAATTTTCTCGTGAAATTGAGGGGACTGTCGATATAGAATTAAAATATATTATCCGTGGTTGAGAATACAACTAAGAGATTGTCTCTTGTATATTAAGACATGTGCCAAAATGGTTATATAAGAAATTGAATCTTAACCTCTTCAGTTTAAAACTAGTAATGCAACTTGACATTTTACAAACGAGCATGTAATTGTAGATCGCCTCGTTGGTCTAGTGGTAGAGCGTGTATTTGGAGAGCGGAAGGTCCTGGGTTCGATCCCCGGCCGCGTCATAGTCAAAGACGTTACGAGATGGTACTTGTTGTTACCCTGTCTGGCGCTCGACATGAAGGCGCTAAAACAAGGAAAGGTCGGCTCGGAGTCAGTATACCGTGTCTGCGTTGGGCATTTATGGTATCTCAGTGGTCTAGCACTATAAAATCGGCATCAGTCCGGAATGGTACAAGCGGCCACACACGCACACACACACACACACACACACACACACACGGGCATGCACATCGCAATATATAGTGCAACGCTATAAAAGTGCAGCAATCTTGAAGGCGACGTTAAACCCAATTTCACCTCACCTCATGCAATCGTAAACTCGGAGCATTGTTTATTTGCTATATTTGTTGTGTCGGTGTTGAGAGCTTCAAGACGGAAAGCGACGAGTGCTTACTGTACAAACAAACACAAAAAAACACACAGAAACTAGAAACTACGTTCCGTGTTCCAGAGCGAGAAGATAGATATTCAGGAAAGCGGATAGGCTGATGTTAAGAAAACCTTTTTTATATCTCAGCGGGACGTCAATTTATTGAGAGACAAATAAAAAATACAGACAGTATGAACTCCACCGGGGAGAACATTCGGGACAACTCGTGACATTCCGGTCTAGTCAAATTGGGAGAACATTTTATTGAATGAGGTGAAGGAGGTGCGATTGCGTCTATTTGTCTGAACAATTAAACGCCACATTATAAAAGTCTGTTGTCGCTACTGTTTGGAGATAGAGTGGCTTCAAGGTCTGGTACCCCTTGCCTGCCCGAATCTTGACTTTGGAATTTGTATCAGGTCTTAAACTGCGACAATATATCTGAGAAATTTAGGTACCTATTAAATAAGTCACAAAATATCACTAATCAGACAACTTAAACAGGATTGTGTGAGGTGTTGAACACTCATTCTTTAAAAGAAATTCTTCTCCCGAAACGTCGCCTTGAAAACATGAGTGAGTGAGTATGGTTTCACGCCGCTTTTCGCCTTATTCCAGCGCATCTTCAGACATTGTATATATGTGGGGAATCGAACCCGGGTCTTCGGTAGGATGAGCGAACACGTCAACCACTAGGCTACCCCACCGCCCCATTGAAAGATTGAAATAAGAAGTCCGAAATGGATAAACGTAATATACCGTAACAGCCCATTTAATGAAAAAAAAAGTTGAAATGGATACAGTTCAAAATTATTATATACATGTAAATTATAAAGCTTATTACACAAGTTGGTTGGTTGGTTGTTGTTTCACACCGCGCTAAGCATGTTAGCTGTATAACGAACAGGTCTTCACGATCACCAACCCACACTTCCCGTAAGAGGCGACTATGCTTGTCGTAAGAGGCGACTAACCGGATCGGGTGGTCAGGCTCGCTGACTTGGTTGATGAATGTCATCGTTCCCCAATTGCGTGGATCGATGTTCACGATACCAATCACTGGATTGTCTGGTCAAGACTCGATTATTTACAGACCGCCGTTATATATCTGGAATATATTGCTGACTGCGGCGTTAATCAACAAACAAACCAAACAGCATTCCGTTTTTCCATATCAGTGTACTGTCTGCCTGTATAGAATCCATGTTCGATGTGTTAAAATGATTGGTAGCGGACGGAGAGTTATGTTCGCACATAAAACAAAGGCCCCGCAATTAAACCATGGAAAAGATAACGCCCAAATCCCCTCTGAAGACGTCTACAGTACCCACTTCCTCGTTCATTATTCATCTCGGTTAAGGCGTTAATTTGTTGATGAAAGCTGATGCCGGTCGTCACCCAAGAGACCCAAGACAACATATTCAATTAACAAGACCCTCGTAAACAGGAACATAGCCTAGCTCGCCTGGTATTGTGTTTAACTTTACAATAATGAAGAAGCTGTTTGAGATGCGTTTCTTAAAAGATGGCTGATGACAAAATAGACACAATTTATGGATAACAATTTCTGAAACATACTATTATAGCGTCGTTTGCAAATATATTTATCTTGCTTGACAGCGGTATAAGGATCTGTAGCCAAACGTCGCAATAATAGTTTATCAAAGAAGTTATCAATAACTTGTGTCTACTATGTAACAATGGGGAAGATACATGTACAAACATGACACTGGACGTCAATTTGGGTTCCTGTCAAAAGGGACCAACCCAATATTATTCCTTGCTCAAGTTCAAATTTTATGGCGTACCGTAAACTATATGTTTAGATTAAAAAAGAAACAACAACTATTAACATAAATCTATATAATGCGCATAAATATTGCGACAAAACCATTTCCTTAGCTATAAGTGAGTGAGTATGGTTTAACGCCGCTTTTAGCAATATTCCAGCAATATCCCGGCGGGGGACACCAGAAATGGGCTTCAAAAATTGTACCCATGTCCGGAATCGAACCCGGGTCTTCGGCGTGACGAGCTTACGCTTTAACCACTAGGCTACCCGACCGCCTCCTTAGCTATAAGAAATCTCTGCTAAAAGCAGAGTCGATTGTTCGATTCCGGCTATCAAATAGTGATGACACCAGGTGTTCGCGAAGAGGTGAGCGTATGCTGCCCAACCAAAATGATTCTGGAATTTGAGCAAATTAAATTATCTCCCTACAAAGATCAATCATAATAATTATCTGTCCAATATATAATTTATATAGATAAAGTTGTACATAATGTGTACATTATGTTTGTTTGTTGCTTAACGCCACACTCAGCAATAATCCAGCTATATAACGGCGGTCTGTAAATAATCTAGACTGGATTAGACAATCCAGTGATTGAAATCATGAGCATCGACACACGCAAATGGGATACGATGACCTGCATCAACCATGTCAGCGAACCTGACCACCCGATCTCGTAAGTCGCCTCGAACGACAAGCATAGTCGCCTTTTACGGCAAGCATGGGTTGCTGAAGCCCTATTGTACCCCGGATGTTCACGGGTCGTGTACAGTATCTGTCGTCTTGAACAAACTGTCTTGTCACTTTGTTGTGTTTTAAGGAACGTAAGTACCCATGTACTCATTCATAGTAAATGTAACTTCGTCCAGCAATTTGACTTCATTTTCTTCATCACGAAATGAATAAATGATATCTGAGCGTGATAATTTATCTTAATAAATTAACTTAAAAAACACCACATGCGTGAAGATCTTGGTTAAAATTGGTCTTCAACAACTCATGCTTGTCGTAAGAGGCGACTAACTGGATCGGGTGGTCAGGCTCGCTGACTTGGTTGATGCATATTATCGTATCCAAATTGGTGGATCGATGATCATGGTATCAATCACTGGATTGTGTGGACCAGACTCGATTATTTACAAACCGCCGTCATATAGCTGGAAAAATGCCGAGTGCGGCGTTTAACAACAAACAAACAAGATACGTTTATCACTGAACATATGGCATCTGACTGCCACTCGTGTGGTCTGAAATGTGTAAATATTTAAACAAGAAACAAACAAAAAACACCAGGAATCTAACTAGAAAATGACCACCAGAAAAAATATTAGCAACCATCACTAGTGTTCATTGCTGCAGAGGCTGACTAGGACTAGCCATCACCCTTCTCACTGAGTGTCGTCTCTGCATCCCGTCCCCTTGGAGAGGGGAGGTGAATTGTCAAATTCATTCCACAACACACGTGACCCGTGAGTCTCTACAGGAAAATAAACCCTTGCCATAAACTGGATATTAATACGTTGCTATGTAGAACTGAAGTAGTATTATATTTCATGGGTATTTGGCATTATCTAGCCAAATAAATCCCCTCCTGGAACAAACAGTTCAGCCAGTGTTAATTGTACCGACGCTTTGCGTTCCCGGTGGGGAAGCGTGGGATTTGTTTCGTTTCGTAAACAATATTCACGATCCATCATCAGTCAGTAGTTTTCGAAGCTTTGTTAGGGACCGATCATTTCATATTTCGGTTCCAGCAAATGCTTGACAAAAATAATTGTGCTTCTGTTGCTGTTGTGCACTGTTGACGGTTGAAAAAAAAATGTCTGCCACAAAAGCTACATTCTTCCAATGCATATTTTTACAAGTATTTAGGCTTATAGTTATGATTTCCAAAAACATATTTGATTTTACAGCTGTTGCTGAAACAATATCTAGTGTCAATGCACAATCCCACGCCTCCCCCTATATCACATGGTCTGTCCCTTAAACAGACTGCAATATGAGAATATGTTACTGTCGATCGCTCAATGGAATAAATCAACTCTTGAAGAAACAGATCATACATAGTTAATATCGCCGAAGCCATGCGTGTAGCGTGGGGATTTGCTCTAATCTCCACAGTCGCATAAAATACCCGAAGTAACAGTCAATACATGTTTCGGAAGCGTTCACGCCATCTGTGAGGCATATGATGTTGCTGTAGTCAAATAAGGTGAGACGAAATAAAAATTAAACGTCGCGTCGTTCAAGATTATTGCACTTATATAGCGACGTGCATGCACGTTTGTGTGTGTGGCCGCTTGTCCTTGTCCGGACAAATGCCGGTTTTATAGCATGCCGCAGTTTAACATGAATAACCGACGCAGACACATAAAACTTGTTTTATCTCCTCAATGCGGAGCGTCACTCGGGGTAACAAGAAGTGCCATAGTTTTACCTCTGTTAAAAAGACGCCGCCAGGGGATCGAACCCCCCATGTTCCGCTTTCCGGACAGTTGGCGTATCTACTCGACCACAGAGGCGGTCACTGACAGAGAAGCCGTCTCACAAAGCTAACTGTTATACTACACGCTATAAAGAATTGATGGCGTCTACATGGCATAGAGGTAAGTGAATGAGTATGGTTTTACGCCGCTTTTGGCTATATTCCAGCAAATTTGGGTCGGGGGATGCCCGAAATGGGCTTAACACATTGTGCCCATGTGGGAATTCGAACCCAGGTCTTCACCGTGACGAGCGGACGCTTTAACAACTATGCTATCCCACCGCTCCAAGGACATTGGCCATTATCTGCACGGTCGACTAAATCACAACGTTTAACATGTGGAATACGCGAGATGCTGGTATTGTCGCTGTGATGATCATAAGATACAAGAGTTCATAACTATAGGACTGCCAGGTAAAGTAAAATATACACTTGAAAATTGGACTGGGCCAAAAAATGACAAACGTTATAAACGTTACTTATTAAAACTGGAAACGATCGCCGAAATACTGCAAACTTACGACCCAAAACACTGTGATACCCGAATCGAATACATCACCATGTTTCATTCTTTGCCACCATCAAACATGAGTGTATACATTCTTGTGCCTGCCAGGCTACTACAACAATCAATAATTACGGTTGAAATTAATTATGTCCTTAGACCCCAATACTACCACTACCACTGAGAATGATGATGATGATGATGATGATGATGAGTGAGTGAGTGAGTTGGGTTTAACGCCGCTTTTAACATTATTCCAGTTACATCGCGGCTGATGATGATGATGATGATGATGATGATGGGTTTTGCCGTGTAAGGTAACCACATCACTCCGGTGATATTAATGCGTAAATGAGGTGTTTGTACCGCTGCTTCCAATAGTATATCAGCCATGTGATGGCGTGTCAGCTTAATGCAAGAGAAAAGCCAGAGGTGACGCCGGCTGTAGCAGCTTCCGTTGTCGATACACACCAACAAGGTTATAGTGTTGTAATGATGTTTTATAGACTAGGACTGATGTACGAGATGTCATTGGTAACACTTTGTTCTCTGACCTTGGACGTCATCACCGCAACGTGTCTGTGAGATTCCTATTCTAACACAGGTACTTTTAAACATAAAGAACGCCAGTTGAAGAAATAAAGGAGACACTCAAACTGCCGAACGACGGAAAGTGGGTTTTATTGGCACCAAATTGAAGGCCACAGCACTGCCAGGAACCGTCAAAGACAAGGAGTCTTCTAAGGTGTATGTTCCAGATAAAGTTCATGTTCTCGAACTCAGATATCGTATACTATTAATGTCCAATAACACCTTGAGTAAATGAATATGTTGGGTTTACGACTGCTTGTCTGGTTTAGTATCGACAAATTAAATTGAACTGTGATGTATCGAGGGTAACTTAACGTCGCATTTCAGTTATATCACGGCGCGTCAGCTTAATGTGGGGGGAAAGCCCGAAGTGATGCAGGTCTCAGACAATTACCACTTCGGTGAAACCCACGAGCACGGATATGGTGCTGACAAACCTAGAAACTTAATCGGGGAGAACCGGGATTCGAACCCACAATCATAGATTTCTGGCCCAAGGGACGCAACTCTGCACAGCGAATCGCGACGCCTTAGACGACTGGGCCACCCGTGCCCCCACGCTCGCAATAAAGTCAAAGCCACAAATAATTATGCTGTACCCGTCCTTTCGTATTCTTTGGGTGGCATTGACACCCTCACACGAAGAATCACGTTAGACAATACATTCCACCACCCCCGCTGTCACCTCAATCGCGTATATTTACAAATCATAATGGGAGGGCGTGGTTTGATTAACGTAGAATTGTATTGTGCACTTTTGCACACATTTATTTGTCTGGCACTCCTCAAGGCATTCCACAGTTTTCTTAAATGAGCCAAGGATGCAGGATATTGGCTCAATATCAGTGTTTTTTTTGTTGTGGTGGTTCTGTACTGCTGGGCAGTACAGAAATGAGTGTCAACCAAGCAAATTGCCAAATCAAATCGGCCCAGACTCAATTTTTCAAGGAGAGGCTATCTGAACGACCACTGCATCGAGTTTATGTGCAGTGTGTTGAGAAAAGAAACAACCCTGCAGAGTCCTTTACTTGGGTGAAGTCGGCTTCCCTGAAGTGTAAAATAGAAGGCTTTCTGATTGCTGCTCAGGACCAGTCACTTCCCACTCGAAACCATCAAAGAGTGATTTTGCATTAAAATGTAAATATGAAATGTATATTAGACTGTCCAACACATTGTCAGTGGATACCCAGCTTTAGCAGAAACACAGTATCTTAAGCGACATGATGGCGTGGCTTTTATTACCGTCTTCGCCATGCTTGTGGTTTTGTGACAGATGTCCATCCATGGTTCGACCCAGAATATGTAGATGGCGTATACAGCCTTAGACGTATCCAGACCAACAAACCTGATCTTGTCCTTTTTTATAAATCCAATAAAATCATATATGTCATTGAATTTTCTATCCCCTTTGACACTAATGTGATTGACAAGATTCAGGAAAAACGTGGCAAATACGCGGACCTCGCTTTCGCTTGCATCCCAAGTACCAAGTTGTCTGACTCCCCATTGTGCCTTAGGTTTGGTACCTCCAATCTGTTGACTGACATCAGGAGAGTACCCGGGTATGCTACCAGGAATACAGCCCTTCTGACAATCTGGGTAATGCAGAAGGCTGCAGTGTTGGGGAATCTTCACGTTCTCCGAAACGTTTCTCGGGGGTTCGACTAGGCAGCGCTTCCTGGGAGAAGTCCCAGTCGCTGTCTGGGCTGCGTGTTGAGGGGGCATGAGCCATGAGCTTATGATGAGCCTAACAAGCCTGACTGTGCCAGGATCACCCATACCCTCTTTGCTGCATTTTTAAAAATTTTAAACTATAAATAATAATAGTAATATCTCTGGCAAAAACTATTTTCCGCTACGGGCGCTGATTTGTGAACTGTACTCTGTGCACATCATCATCATCATCATCATCATCATCATAATCATCATCATCTTAATAATAATTCATGTAGGCCGTAAATAAAAGCGACAAAAAAATCATAAAAAATCTCTGCAAAGAGCTATTGTACGATTCCAATTATTTTAAAATCATGTGTTTATGAATCCCTGTCAAATACTTCAAGCTGTCCCACCTGTGACGCCTGTCACAAACACATATAGAGGCAAGGCAATTGTTTACTACTACTACTACTACTACTACTACTACTACTACTAATACTAATACTAATAATAATAACAAAAATAATACACTCTGCAGAACACATTACCACCTATTACATTAATGGGGACCAAAATCCTTCAGAGAAAAGAATCAAGGTTTATAATCAAAAACATACATCCAATCACTGTCGGGAAATCTGAAGTTATCCAGAATCAGTTTTAGACATTGACATCACACGAAGTATTGCTCTGTTGCCTTCTCTCTATCATAATGAAAAATATCTGAATATCTAAAGTAGTGAACTTCGAGGCTTCTCATTAAAGAGCTTGGTCGATCCTTAGGGAAATATAACACATTAGCAGTGCCATGTTCTGTGTAATTGAATACATTAACTTCTAGTTGCCTTAACTCGACGCTCATTAAAGATGACATCGATTCATTTAAATTAAATTGTGGCGCCAGCTAGCCGGGCAAGCCTCTGCATTGCACTGTGCTTGTGGGTTTTCTGTCCCCATCGTCTCAAGAATTATGTGAGTTATTTACTGGAAGGTGCGACTTGTTTACCTTGGAAATCAATCGCAAAGACGTTGGCTCTGAGTCTAGCGAGACGCTGTTGCAACGCGTTTTTGTACTTGAGGAAAAACGCAAGACGAGGCGTTACATAGTTAAAGGGAGAATAATTTGTAACGTTTGTTTATTAGGTTTGCTTTAAGTTCTGGCATTGAACACTGTGATACGATGACTGTGGGCTTCTAACCGTGGTAATAGTTTAAATTATGGACAACGCAGTGGTCGCAGCGTTGATTTGTGATCATGGTATATGTTAGAGAAGTGGTCAGAGAATTTGTCAGAGAGGTGGGTAGTAGGAGAAGTGGGTAGAGGGGAATTGCCAGAGAAGTGGTTTAGGGAATTGTCAGATAAGTGCGCACGGAACTTGTCAGAGAAGTGTGCAGGGTAAATGTCAGAGAATTGGGCCGGGGAATGGTCTTTGGAATTGTCAGAAACGTGGACAAGAGAATTGTTATTTTAGTGGTCAGCGAAGTGGGCAGGGGAATTGTCAAGGGAATTGTCAGCGAAGTGGGCAGGGGAATTGTCAAGGGAATTGTCAGCGAAGTGAGCAGGGGAATTGTCAGCGAAGTGGGCAGGGGAATTGTCAAGGGAATTGTCAGCGAAGTGAGCAGGGGAATTGTCAAGGGAATTGTCAGCGAAGTGGGCAGGGGAATTGTCAGCGAAGTGGGCAGGGGAATTGTCAAGGGAATTGTCAGCGAAGTGAGCAGGGGAATTGTCAAGGGAATTGTCAGCGAAGTGGGCAGGGGAATTGTCAGCGAAGTGGGCAGGGGAATTGTCAAGGGAATTGTCAGCGAAGTGGGCAGGGGAATTGTCAAGGGAATTGTCAGCGAAGTGGGCAGGGGAATTGTCAAGGGAATTGTCAGCGAAGTGGTCAGGGGAATTGTCAAGGGAATTGTCAGCGAAGTGGGCAGGGGAATTGTCAAGGGAATTGTCAGCGAAGTGGGCAGGGGAATTGTCAAGGGAATTGTCAGCGAAGTGGGCAGGGGAATTGTCAGCGAAGTGGGCAGGGGAATTGTCAAGGGAATTGTCAGCGAAGTGGGCAGGGGAATTGTCAGCGAAGTGGGCAGGGGAATTGTCAAGGGAATTGTCAGCGAAGTGGGCAGGGGAATTGTCAAGGGAATTGTCAGCGAAGTGGGCAGGGGAATTGTCAAGGGAATTGTCAGCGAAGTGGGCAGGGGAATTGTCAAGGGAATTGTCAGCGAAGTGGGCAGGGGAATTGTCAGCGAAGTGGGCAGGGGAATTGTCAAGGGAATTGTCAGCGAAGTGGGCAGGGGAATTGTCAAGGGAATTGTCAGCGAAGTGGGCAGGGGAATTGTCAAGGGAGTTGTCAGCGAAGTGAGCAGGGGAATTGTCAGCGAAGTGGGCAGGGGAATTGTCAGCGAGGTGGGCAGGAGAATTGTCAGAGAAGTGGTCAGGGGAATTGTCAGCGAAGTGGTCAGGGGAATTGTCAGCGAAGTGGGCAGGATAATTGTCAGAGAAGTGGTTTAGGGAATTGTCAGATAAGTGGGCACGGAACTTGTCAGAGAAGTGTGCAGGGTAAATGTCAGAGAATTGGGCCGGGGAATGGTTATTTTAGTTGTCAAGAGAATTGCCAGATAAATGGGCAGGGCAAATATCAGTGGAATTGTCAGGGAAGTGATCTAGGGAGATGTCAGATAAGTGATCAGGGGATTTGTCATAGATTGTGGCAGAGGACTTGTAAGGGGAATTGTCTGAGAAGTGGATAGGGGAATTGTTAGAGGAGTTATCAGAGAAGAGGGGCAGATAAATTGTCAGGGGAATTGTCAGAGAAGTGGGGTTGGGGCAGTTATCAGGTGAATTGTCAGAGAAGTGGTGTTGGGGCAGTTATCAGGTGAATTGTCAGAGAAGTGGTGTTGGGGCAGTTATCAGGTGAATTGTCAGAGAAGTGGGCAGGCGAATTGTCAGGGGAATTTTCAGCGAAGTGTGGAGGGGAATTGTCAGCGAAGTGGGCAGGAGAATTGTCAGAAAGTGGGGTTCGGGTCAGTGATCAGGTGAATTGTCAGAGAAGTGGGCAGGAGAATTGACAGAGGAATTGTCAGAGAAGAGGGCAGGCGAATTGTCAGGTGAATTGTCAGAGAAGTGACCAGGTGAATTGTCAGAGAAGTGGGAAGGAGAATTGTCAGAGAAGTGGGCAGGGGAATTGTCAGAGAAGTGGGCTGGGAAGTAGTCATCGGAGAGATAGGGAGTGATCAAGGGCGTGGTCAATGCATTAGGGCAGCGCACAGCCATAGCCTATTGCGGTATCCACAAGGCGTGATCATGACAGTGGCATCTACCAGTGAG